TTGTTTACCACAGGATGTGATGGTGGCAGTCGTGGAATAATACTTATTTTTGCCATAGAAAAATCCAGATTTGCCTCAGATTTCTAATGTTGCCATGATGACACGACTTAAGTGGTCAATATCTATTTGAAGAGTTTGAGTAATTTGGGTTTGCACATCAGATGGAAGTTTGTTATTTCTTTACACTTTCTGCCAGTTGATGTAAGTGGAGCATTCATGATTTGGATCGGAATACTTTGTTGCATTGATCATTGAGTTTAGATTTTCTTTTTTCTTTTTCCAGAAATGAATGATGTCCTGCTTCAAGTCTTCTCCTGCACTTGACCCAGCTTCAATCTGCTTCCGTAAATACATCAAGACAACCTACTAAGAGGAATGTAAGGTGATATATAAAAATATGGCATCCAGAAGACGTTCTGGTACTAAGCAAACATTGTCTGGTACCCTCCACATTAACACATCTGAGAGACAAGCACAGAAATGCAGCAAGGAGAGAGCCCACTACTGCTTGGAGTGTGGAAAGAGTTTTACTCAACAGAGTACCCTCAAAATACACCAGCGCATTCACACAGGAGAGAAGCCGTATCACTGCTCAGAGTGTGGGAAGAGTTTTAATCGCCAGAGTCATCTTAAAACACACCAGCGCATTCACACAGGAGAGAAGCCGTATCAGTGCTCGGAGTGTGGGAAAACTTTTAATAATCAGAGTAATCTTCATAAACACCAGCTTATTCACATAGGACATAAGTCGTATTATTGCTCAGAATGTGGGAAGAGTTTTACTCAACAGAGTCATCTCAAAACACACCAGCGCATTCACACAGGAGAGAAGCCGTATTATTGTTCAGAGTGTGGGAAGAGTTTTACTCAACAGAGTACTCTTCAAGAACATCAGCGTATTCACACAGGAGAGAAGCCGTATTACTGTTCAGAGTGTGGGAAGAGTTTCAGGCATCTAAAGACTGTAACGACACACAAGTGCACTAAGAGCAGCGGTGGAAATGGGCAGTAATGAGTGTAACACCTTCTGAAAGTACAAGTCTCTAGGGAATGGTTCTTCCAGTCCAGATTTCAAACCGTTTTTAGGGAAAACCACCTATTGTTGTTCTACACTGTTTCTAGAACATAAACTGAAAAGAAATCCTGTGCAGATCACAAAGTCAAGCCTACAGCTCCTACAGGTACTTCAGAGTCCACCCAAAATTAGTTTCATTTGTAATGTATGTTGAGACAATTGAGAAGCTTCACATTCAATAATAAGAGGTTTTTATTTTCTAATTTATATCTTAGCTTGGGGGGTCTAAACTTTTTTCAAAACAGGCCAGATCGGACAGTTTTGGATTGGTAAGTGCTTGTAACAAATTGTTGATTTGTTTTTTCAGAGAAACATTGAAATGGGACTAATGAATCAAGTATTCCCATTCAAATATTTACTTGTTCAAAAATATATTTTGTGAGACAAACCAAATTAAAATCTGTCATTTTTTGGTTTTCTTAGGTCACGTTTTTTACATATCAAATAAATGACAGCATTCAGAAATCACTTGATTAAATCAGAAGAGCAGCTTAAATAGCATAGTCACATTTTTGTTTGGTATTAAAGGATTAATACTTACTGAACTACTGAGTTTGCACTTAAGAAGTTAGTGTTGTGAGATTCATGTAGATTGCAGTTGCTATAGTTTCTCTGCCTTCCCCTTTAACATCCCAGCTTTGTTTTAGGTCTACTGATATCAAATTCACTACAGACTTTTGACATGTGAGGCACACACATTTGCTGTGGCTCTCAGTAAAAAAAAAATATTCAAATTCAAAATTGCCGGTTCTCAATTTCAAGTATGTGCTTCATGGCTGTAGTCTTGACTAAACCAAATGCCATCATTAGCTGAAAGGAAAACTGCAACATAATGGTGACTGGGCCACTTATAACAAACTCTAAAACAGAAGCCCCACAGCTTCGTTTGGCTTTGGGGCCAGACTTTGGACACATCTGCCTTATCTAATATAGTGTTTCGGATGCAGTGATAGATATTTTGACAAACACTGACAGTGTTCTTGGCTACCTGAGACCCTCTTTTGCTCCTGTGATTCCTACACCTTAACTAGTTAAGACTACCAGGCTACAACTTATCCATGAAGTTTCCATTACTGTTTTCAGAGACTTTAAGGACTGCTGATGTTCTTTGAGATGCTTGGAGAGTGACTGATCCTTGAGGAGGACACTATGACATGAGATAAGGACGTCATGCCCATTTCCAATCTATCCTACCAGACATGGAGGTGGCCGATGATACAGAAGTTGGACCTGACTATCTTCATCATTGTAGAACTGGTAAAAGGTGACTATGTTGGGACATTCAGGGCCTTGGACTGGGAGTGACTCTTGCTGACATCATTATGACGCGTTTGAGGGACACTATTTTCGCTGGCTGAATCTTACCAATGATGCTTTGTTCCTGAACCAATCAAAGACTGCATTATAATAGTTTTGATTTGTAATGAATCAATATGTGTATGCAGCGCTGTATATAGATTGTGTAATTTACATATAATTTGGAAAAAATTTGTAACTAATGTCACTAAGTTTGTGTTTTTATCTCTCTCACTCGCTCTCTCTCAATTTTAGCCTACTGATTTCTTTCTTTAGGCTTTTGTTTAGCTAAGCCTTTCTGTGAGTGTGTTTTTGTGAATGTGTTAAATTGATTATTTTTCTGTTTTTCTCTGTTTTTTGATCATTTTTATGTCCATGTAAACCTGAAAAAATCCTAATAAATTTTATATTCTGTTCTTTTTTTTCAAATTCACTGTGTGGTCTTCTTTTTAGTTTTTGGGCTACATAGCATTACAGAAATTATAATTGAGTGTTTTTCCTACGTTTCTGAATTGTGATGCTGTGGTAAAATACCCAACACAAGACAAGCTTAACCTTGCAGTTCTCTTGGGCAAAAACTGGCTGTGAATGCTGTTTAAGTGATTCCAATATGCTATATAACATAATAGATGCAGACCTCTTTTTGTTCTTGCTGTTGTTGTTCCTTAATGTCCTCTACTTCAGAAGCAGAATTCAGAAGCAAACTCCTCCACTCCTGCCCTTGCCTTCCACAAGCCTTGTCCCAACTGCACCCTCATCTGGACTGCAAGCGCACACCAGTGAGCCCTGATCGATGAATCGCATCTCCTGTGCTGATTTATTCCAGTTTCAGCTCTCTCTTCCACCTATTTCATCCTTCATCCTCCCCCCTTTCATCCTGCACCCTCCGCCCCTTCCTTCCCTCTACCTCAGACATCCATCCCATCTGAGCTCCATCTCAACCCAGCTCTGTCCCAGTCTGCTCCATCTCAGATCAACTCCTGCAACCCTGCCCTGCAACACCTTTCTGACGCTACTTGGCTCCGTCTCAAGTTCAACAACTTCTTGGTTCAGCTTCAATGTGTCTCGGTTCTGCAACTCTTTTCTGACTCCACTCTGCTCCATCTTGGATCAGCTCCATCTCACATTGACTCCAACACAACTTACCTCTGCTTCATATCAGATCAGCTCCAGTACAGTCATTGATGATAATAACTGATAGACTGTTAGCTTTTGTGTTCTTCTACATTTACTCACTAAAGATTCTGCTATTTAGTTTATATCTAATTTATCTAATAAACTTCAGATTTTATGTTAGAAATGGGATTGGAAGGCATGAAACTACTGATTAGGGGTTAAATATACACAGAGCACAGCACCAATTCATTTAATCTCCGATGGTACGGTCAACCCTAATTATTTCCTATTTATGATCACTAAATCCTCCTGTTAGTACATGATATTTACATCTCTTTAATTTATTACATGATCAATACTTACATCTGTTAATATATTTGTGCTTGTTAGTGATAGATATTTGTATATCTGTTAGTATATATACATCTGTTTATATTATAGGACATAATATAGCTGTTAGTATATTTGCATCTCTTTTAGCTTTTAATGTAAGATAGATTTGTTGCTACATGACACATTTACATTTGTTAGTATATTTACATCTTTTTAGATGGTACTACATGATACATATTTACATCTCGAAACTTATATTTTAAAATACATTCAGCTCAGGGAGCTAAACATTAAAGAAAAATCACTCTTTCAAGTCTTGCATGGTGGATAATGAGAACAGAAGGTGAACAAACCTGCAGTTAGCCTGTCAGTTAGCCAAGTGCAAGAAATTGTTGCAAAGATTAGCTATGAGGCAGCTATGAAATCATTTGCTGTGAAGCTTCTCTTTTTGAGAGGCAAGTATGTGATCTTAGTACTGCATGAGAAATTAGCTCCTGTTTTCCAAATGTCAACATTGCTGGGCAGATGGCAAAATATATGATGGTGCTTACATCACTGATCGCAGAATTTAACCAGCAATGTCAAGACTTTGCTGCCATTGAGATGGACATTAAACTGTTCTCAAGCCATTTCCCTGTTGATGTGGACGAACTACAGGAGGATGTGCAATTGGAATTCATTGAAACGCAATGTGATGTTACTCTCCACAGTTGCCACCAGATGCAAAATCTTAGTTCACAATTCACCTTAACAGCACTTAAATCCCACCAATTGAGTTAGTCACTCAAATAAAAATGTAGTGTGACAGTAATCAAGCACGTCTATTATTTCTTTATTTGTTGTATTACAGAGAGTCCATGGCCCATGACTGCATGTTTTCCTGCCTCTGGCCCCCAACAAGAAAACTTTGGACACCCCTGGTCTAAATCAATCCACCATCAATTTACCAAACTCTTGTATCTCCAAGTCTGTGACTTTTTTTTCTCACCACATGGCGCTAATTCTCAAGGTTGGTGAAACGCTCCACTGATATTGGGATGCTGAATTCACATAGTGCTTCTGTATGTGGTAGTTGAGGTGGCAGAGGCCAGTTCTGTGTCTTCTTGAGCTTCCTCACTAAATGAGGCCAGTAAAGTATGTACAAACTGTCCAGTTGGGAAAACATCATGCCAATGGGATATGACTCACAAAGAAAAGTTTATCAAATCCAATACCAAACCCCACTATATACATACCTATTCCACACGCAAAATACAACATATACAATTAATACGTCTTCTGAGATCTTAAATGTAATATGAAAAGTCTTTGATGAGTAAACAAATTAGTCCCACCTGTTTGTCCTTAGAGCAACTACAGATGGTGGGCAGGCAGTTCTGACGCAAGCTGGCTGTCACAAATGTGACATGCCCTTACACTGGTAGGAACAAACAAGCCAAGTTTCAAAGAATAACACTTTAACTTTTGGAAGGGATCAAACAAAAAAGATTTCTTGACAAGGACACATGTAAGAACCGAGAGTAAATCTCAGTCCCAAATGGCGCACTCACAGTCCTGAAGTCCACAATTTCACGTGCACATGAAGGATGTAGGCTGTAGGGTGTCCCATTTCTCATTTTGCTGTGCGAAACGATGCTTTAGAGAGCTCTCTTTGTGCCTTTGGGCGAGGACTTCAGCAAATTGAACTCTTTCAAAAAAATTCCAAAAAATACCAAGAGGACCAAACAGAAAGATGGTTTTGTTTACAGCTGCCTAATCAACATAGCAGAGAAGAAGATATTCAGCATTTGTTTACAATTTACCTGTAGATAAGCAAATTAGCCCATAGAAGAATAACATGACTGATACAGCACTGCGTGTGGCATATCTCACTTGTTTAGCCAAAACCCACACCCTGTAAGTCTGCATGGTGTTGACATCCCCAAAATGGGACTGGACTTATGGATGTTTGTCAATCGACTCACAAACACATTTCATCTGACTTCTATATGTACAGAACATGGGCTTACGCCACCTAGTGGGTCAAATGTTGGAATATTTTGAAAGAAACAGATCTTTTGGTGGAGTACTAGGGAGAGCAGGCAAGGCACTGGGAAAAGAATGGTCATATGGTCAGAAAGTTTGAACAGTACAATACTAACATTAAAGACAGAAAGGCAGGAAGAGTGAACTAAATCAAGAGTTTAGCCTTTAGCGTGGGACATTTACATGTTATACAAAGAGCGAGATGAGAAATCAGTCAAAGTGTGTAATCAACATTTATCAATCATGCCTGACAATAGCTAAGTGACCACAAAACAGACAGCGAAGATGGAGAAAAAAAGTTGCAAATTTATAGTAAAAATGCAGTGAGAAACAGACAGAGAGGACATAACAGCAAGGGTGAGCGGTTCAGATAATTCAATGAGAAATTATAAGTTAGATTTGAGAGGACAGTAGGGTAACAATGTAATCATGGAGCAGAGTAATTTAAAGATAAGGTAATCAAAGGATAACAGATGACAGATTAAGAGCACTGTCCATAATCACAGCTGATTTATCAGTACTATGTTACATTGTTCTCTGGAAATACTCCATTAAAATTGTCTTTGGGTGTCAAATCTTGGAGTAATTCAATAAATAACACTACCAATAAGTGAAGTTAAAGTTACTAAGTAAGTAACTGCTTATTTTTGAATGTGGAGTCTCTTTTGCTTTCAGTGTACATTTCAAATGACACCCGTACTGACAGACTGCTGCAGAACGTGCTACTTTGGAAACTGGGCTGGGGAGAATATGAAATACAACACCTTCCCATTAACAAAAAATAAATAAAAACAGGTGCTTTTCTCTGTTTATTTCTTATAATTATGCAGATTTTTTTTTAAATCTGAGCTGCTAACACCATTCCCTCCAGTCTCCTGGAATGCTGTTAAGATTACTCTCATTACTGCCTATTTCTACCAATGCTTTTAATGCACTTGTGTGTCTTCTCAGTATATGAATGCCTGAAACTCTTCCCACATTTTGAGCAGTAATACGGCTTCTCTCCTGTATGAATGCGCTGGTGTTGTTGGAGAGTACTCTGTTGATTAAAACTCTGCCCACACTCGGAGCAGTAATACGGCTTCTCTCCTGTGTGAATGAGCTGGTGTTTTTTGAGAGTAATCTTTTGAGCAAAACTCTTCCCACACTCTGAGCAGTGATATGGTTTAACTCCTGTGTGAATGCGCTGGTGTTTTCGGAGGGTACACTGTAGTCTAAAACTCTTCCCACACTCTGAGCAGTGATACGGCTTCTGTCCTGTGTGAATGCGCTGGTGTCGTTGGAGAGTAATGTGTTGATTAAAACTCCTCCCACACTCTGAGCAGTGATACGGCTTCTGTCCTGTGTGAATGCGCTGGTGTTTTTGGAGATTGCTCTGATAACTAAAACTCTTTCCACACTCTGGGCAGTGATGAGACTTCTCTCCCGTGTGAATGAGCTGATGTAGTTGGAAAGTATTATATTGTTTAAAACTTTTTTCACACTCTGAGCAGTGATATGGTCTCTCTCCTGTGTGAATGCGCTGGTGTGTTTTGAGATTACTCAGCTGATTAAATCTCTTCCCACAGTCTGAACAGTAATATGGTTTAACTCCTGTGTGAATGCGCTGGTGTCGTTGGAGATGACTGTGATCAATAAATCTCTTCCCACAGTCTGAGCAGTGATACGGTTTCATTCCTGTGTGAATGAGTTGGTGTCGTTGGAGATGACTCTGCAGAGTAAAACTCTTCCCACACTCTGAGCAGTGATACGGCTTCTCCCCTGTGTGAATGCGCTGGTGTCGCTGAAGATGACTATGATGATTAAAACTCTTTCCGCAGTCTGAGCAGTAGTGGTTTCTCTTCTTGCTTTGTCTCTGTGTTTGTCTACGAGGTGTGCTCATGTGGAGGGTACCAGATGATGTTTGCTGAGTACTGGAGTTTCTTCTGGATGCCATATTCTTATATTTAACCTGCTTCAACAGCTTAACGTTCCATTTGCTGGAATGCCCTGATGTGTTTAGGGATGTAAATTTGAACCGTGTAGGAAAGTGGACAATAGTAGCAGGAAAAGACGCTGAAGCTAGATGACATTCAATTCTGGAAGAAGAAAAGACAAAAAGTCAATGGAATGCAACAAAAGAAGCCTAACGAATGTTCTACTTACAACAAATGGCAGAAAGTGTAACATTCCATCTGACATGGAAATCACCCAATTGCTCAAACTTTGCAAAATAATTTTTAGCTTTGTGGAATGTTAAACAGTAAAACATGCATTAAAGTATTTGATTATAAGGTTTATATATGTATATATACATCCTGAAGGAAATATAGTTATCCTTTCTGCCCATGGTAGTTTCAGTAAACATTTCAGACAGTTTTCTAAGCAGTTCTTCAGTGTTAAGTTCTCTTTTAAATTGGAAGTGGATGCAAGTGCTAGAAGAGCAAGAGAGGAAGTACTTTTGGAAGACATGTTGATCATCCAAGTTGTTATTGTTCAAGGAGGCTTGACAAGCCTTTTACAGCTGTATGACATCTTTTACAGGTGTATGTAAAAGTTTGAGCAATTTACACATTTTGTTGATTTTCTAAGCAAATTTACTTTCTGTGCTATTCACTTTTAATTTTGAGTAAAAGGTTTTTAAGTAAACACCACGTTTGCATGGAACACACTTAAATATCACACATCTGCAAAAGGTTCTTGCAGAATTATGGTTTATATGCTGCTTTTTTCATACGGGAAAAAATGTTGCATGTGCATAACTTTGGCCAGTCTACAAGCAATGCCTTCTCAGAGATTTGTCTTAGTCCTCTGGATCTTGTGTTGACCTCAAGAGTTATCCTTAACTTCTGTTTGTTAATGGCCTTTAAAATAAAATTTAAAGTTAAAATACAAGCAGGAAGTGTTCAGATGTCTTTTATAGTCTTCTTTTGCTTCATAAGAGTCAATTATCCTTTGTTTCAGATCCTCTGTAAGCAGTTCAAATGAGCTCTTGGCCCCTGAGTGTCACCAAAACACCCTGAGAGGTTTGAAGGGTCACATCATTTGAGATGTGGAATTGCCTACGCCTGACTTAAGGCCTAATATGCTGAGACTTTACAAAAACAAAAAAGATGTAATAAATAATAATGAAAAAAATATAATTTTTAGTTTTACTTAGCCATAAAATAATATTCTTTTCATTTGTCATATAAGCCTTCAGAGGAGAAAAGACTGAAAGTTGGTAAGTTTGGCTTTTGTTCAACGTTGATCACTGGTTGTTGGCTCTCCCCTTAACCGGTCAACCTACTCTATTAATAGAAGAATACAGTCTAATTACAGAGAATACAGACCATTTAAAAAGTGCCTTTTTTACAATGTACATTTCAATTTCCTTCTTGTTAGTTGAGGCTGTTTGTCATATGTTTAGTAAAGGGTCTTTTTCTAGATTAGAGTTAGCATGACCTCCTCCACTTCTGGTCAAGTAAATCACCATTCCCAGAGAACCTGTCAAAATGTCCTACTGTATCAAATATTTATAGGTCTGTGTTATACACCAAGTTATTATACTACACTAATAAAGTAATTGCATGGACATTCACCTCAGTGTTATGCAAAATGCAAAAAAGTAAAAAAAAAGCACATGACAATGGATGAGGGAGCAGTCTTTACATCTTCAGTGTGGGGTGACACCCGATGTTGCATTGTCATGAACTGAGGATTGAGGAATTTGGTCAAACTGAGCTTCATTTTAGCAGTTAGCTGTTTTTTTTGTTTTTTTTTCACCTGGTACATTACCATGATGTCGATTTAGACAGGAAAGTAATTTGCTCCATAATTATTATTTGAAAGACCTGAAAAAACTACAGACGTGGCACAGTTGTACTGGACTGGACAAATTACAGTATCTCCCCATGTAAAACTAATCCAACAAGTTAGCCTAATGCAAAGATATAAAGTCTATTCATTTTTTGTTGAAATGCTAACATTTTTTCCATTTTGCATGGTTGCCATCCAAACCCCTGCCCCCTTGCTGTTCCCACGGCAACATCCCTATGTACTACTTTAAATAAAGGCATCTTTTTACCTTTTTAGCCTTAAATGAATCTTGTATTCAAGTATACATCTTGTATATCAAGAGTTACTGCTTACTGTTTAGACTGCTTACACCCCCCTCTAAACAGACCTCAAACACACACCATAGACACTCCTACCAGCTGTTAATCTACCAGCCATTGACCAGCAACCCTCACCCAGACGTTCACAGGTCTCAGGAAGCACTTCATATTGTTCTAAATATAACTGCACAATTATACCCACAATGAATGATGGCATATATCAGTCAATACTTCTACACATGTTCAATATGGCATCATCTCTTTTTGCTCTAGGGGAGAATTTTCTCCAGTACATGATATTTGTGTTTATCTGACATATGAAATGTTGGAACAGGCAAAAATGAGGTAAGGCCACATTTAACTTTAGCCAGAACTTTGAGTATAAATGACTGTTATTTAACATTTCACAATGTGCATTGCATCCACTTTAACACGACTAATTATGCTCTTTTCATAATGAACCATGCAGTTAGGAAGTGTTTGTCCTGACGATTTCCAATAAAGGCATAAATGTAATTTATCATAACAACGAATAATACTGCCATATTGCCTAGTTTGCATGTTTTATAACAGAGTGATAAAAGTTGCTTTATGTGTTCACAAACAACGTAGCAGAGAAAGGCACATAATTAAAGGACATATCTTTACAGAGCTGACTTAATAACATTAGCACACAAAAGAACAGAAGCGCATGAGATAAGCCAAGAATCATTATACATACATACATACATATATATATATATATATATATATATATATATATATATATATATATATATATATATATATATTTTCTGACACAGGGGTCTTTAACAAAGCAGTATTTCTCATTGAGCCAGACAACTTAAGCCCAAAGTCAACCCTGTCCAACAGGAAAAGAGCTGAGGGACATTCCTATTGGACAATCCTCATATTAGGGCTTAAGTTTTCTGGCTGCTCACATTACTCAGCTCTGTCTGAATGAAGCTGCTTCTGTGTTTAATCTATTAAAAACCCATTAAATCTTATTTTCAGAACTCAAATGTGTCTCCAGCTGTTCGTCTCAGAGTGAATGAAGAACAGTGAGTGTTAAAGAGTCGGACAGATTCCTACCTTCAACAGTTCAGCTCTTGTTTCTGTTCCTCCATCAACACAGAGCGCGGAGGCGTGGACTGCTGACCACAACACATCTTCTGCTTCTCCGCTTTAGTGCAGTTGGAGAAAGTTAGATACAGAATTAGCGCCACCACCTGGCCTGAAGCGGGTTCACGCTGGAACCACGCAAACATCGAAACAGGCGGAACGGTCGTTATTTTAAATCCCACCCATATTCAGTCAAGCCCCGCCTCCAGCGATCTGATTGGGTAACAGCGGAGTAAAGAATTCAGAGAGGATTCATGATTTCCATTGACGTCATATATGCTTTTTGATTTTATGTAGCATCAAAATTCAGATTAGAAAACATACATCATCTAAACCGCTTATCCTTCTGGGTCGCGGTGGGGTGCTGGAGCCTATCCCAGCTGTCACTGGGCGAAAGGCAGGATACACCCTGGACAGGTAGCCAGTCCATCACAGGGCAGACAGACATACACATTCACACCTAGGGGCAATTTAGCATGTCCAATTAGCTTAACTGCATGTTTTTGGACTGTGGGAGGAAACCCACGCAGACACGGGGAGAACATGCAAACTCCACACAGAAACGACCCTGGTCGCCTGGCCGGGAATCGAAGCCAGGCCATTCTCGCTGTGAGGCAACAGCGCTACCCACTGCGCCACCGTGCTGCCTGTTTTGTAATAATGCAGAATTTGATTTTTCATTTTAATTGCAGAAATTTGTGGATTTCTGAAATATGCATTAGCAGGTTGGTTATTCCTCCTTTAGTTCTTTATTAATGTTAAGTTGTTCAGTTCTCATCCATCCAACACTGTAAAAATTTTATCTTAAAAAAGCTTTAAACTGGACTGCCTTAAAATTTTGAGCTTACAATTCTTAAGTCAACAGAATGTAAGACATTTAATTGTTCTGTGAACGCTAGAATTTCAATGAACCCAACATTGTAAGGCAGTCTGGTTACTTGCTTGAAGTTAAAACAGAAATCTGCAATATAAAACAGACAGTGAAATATTTTTTTGTCTCAAAAGGCGGGAACGAACGAGTGAGCCGCACAGAGAGCTAGAGAGAGAGTGACACCTTTATGTGGAGAAAATGAATCATCCTAAAACTGTATTTTACACACAACATACCGCAAACCATCACTGTTCAACACTCATAACAAAATCACCCCTTTTTCACCAAGAGCGCAGATTACTCATAGATAACTGATCTTCAAATCACTCTCCATCTGGAATAGAAGCTAGTTCACTCACTGCTTTCAGAAAACTCACAGCTGCGACTGCACCTACTGCTGGTCATCTTGACTCATGTTTGCAGTTTCACTCCAACAGGAAAAACAGCAAACAAAAAGAGGAGTGACTAACTGAGTGGAGGCTTTGGCCTAGTGCAGTGTATCCAGTCATGCTGCACAGTTTAGTGTTATCCTGCTCTAGCACACCTGATGCAGCTCAAGAAGGACGTAACCATTAGCTAATGATGCGAGTCAAACACAGGAACAACACTAAACTGTGCAGTGGAGGTGGGAAACACTGAGCTGCTGAAAACATACAAGCAGATTTCATTAGTCTGTGTGGAGCATGCGGGAACTTCTCTCATCTGCTGGCGTTCTACTCAACTCTGATGAAGAAAGTTCTCTCTAGCAGATGGACATTGAAGAAGTGAGAAAAGGTTATGAGTGAGACGGCGGCAATCTTTAATAATATTCTGGATTTTCTATATGCAATAAATGGAATTAACATTAATGTTATCACTAAGGTTTAGTAGCTCTGTGCCAACTGTCTTTACAGTTTTCTTGAGGGTCCACTTATGATATTTGTGTGATTTTATGCAAAAACAGACATATTTTCATATTTCACACAAACATTTCCCAAACCTTCTTTATCCCTTACAATTAAACATGCTGTTTTTTTACTGTCTTTAACACTGATATGTGTAAAATATCTCTGTTCTGATTGGCTGCCCTGCATTATACTACATTCAAAAAGTCAAGACTGAAAGACTTGAAGTGCAACTTCAGCATGAATGGGTGGGGCTAAAATGCTGCAAGTGGATATATGTAAATGTGCTAGTTTTCTTGACATCACAAAAGTATTTAATCCAAAACAACATTACTGCAGTATAGTTTTCCTGTACAACCTGTATGGACTAAAGAGTGAATTATATGTTTTGAAACTTATAACTCTTTTATTTAACAAAGTGAGGAAAACTCAGTGTAATATGATATGGACTCTTTAAGGTCATATGCGTCATAAGGTCATTCTTTGGAGCAAGAATATAAGTTAATAAGTCTTTTGATGTGAGCACTCAAATAGTGCAGCCTCCATTTTCTTGCTGATGCAGTTGGTGTTAAGAGATCATTTAAGATTATCTGAAAGGAATTTCATGCTGTCAGTAATTTGGACATATAAGCCGCTGATAGAAATGGGGGTGTGATCGTCTCTGGCTTTCCTGAAACCAGCACTGACTTGTCCTAAATCCTGAAAGCTTTCTCTTATAAAGATTAAGTAGAAATAATTTGAAATATAATCATGACAGGCAGAGTAAGTCCTTGTATGTGTAACTTAGCAAAATAAAGCAAATCTGATTCTGAAGTAAATGACAGGGAACAAAAAAGTCATCTGCATCTATTAGGTTACATAGCATGGCAAAACACATTAAACAGCTGTATTGACAGCCCATTGTTGGAAAGCTTTATCACAGCATGACTAAAATAATAATATAGAAATGTAAGAAAAACTTACATTCATTATTTATGTAATGCGATATACTCCCAAAAACAGACCACAGAGCGGATTTCAAAAGAAGACTACAAAATTTAATAGATTTTTTTCAGCTTTACAGGAATACAAAAATAAATAATATTCCAAGAATAAAAATAGAGAAAAGTGAAGGAAAGTAATCTCAACAGGTTAACACATTCACAAAAACACACATAAGCTCACACACAAAGGCTTAAAGAAAGAAATTAGCAGGCTAAATGGGTGAGAAAGCAAGAGAGAGAAGGAAAAAGTGTGGTTGGGGTTGAGAGCAGGTGTGGTCCCCATCTAATACAGACTTGGTTTAAGTAGTTCTAACGCAAATTATATGTCAATTAGATAATCTACATACAGAACTGCATACACATATTCATTTATCATTATAAATCAAAACTATTGTAATGTAGACTTGGACTGGTTCAGATACAATAACAGAACACAGTGTCATTGGTGGCATTCAGTCCACAAAGATGTGCATTGTGCACGTACGTCATGCACATCCTAATGACTTCATTAAGAGTCAGTTTCATTGAGGTCCAAGGCCTTGAAATGGTCACCTTTCACCCAGATCTACAATATTGGAGATACCTAGTTCCAACTCCTGTATGATAGGCTGCCAGGTATGACAGACTGGAGATGGACATAATCAAGTCATTAATCTCATGTCACAGTGGCCTTCTAAAGGAACACTCTCCAAGCGTCACAAAGAACATTAACATCATCCTTAAAAGTCTCGGAAAACTGTAACGGTAAGTTCATGGGTGAGTTATAGTCTGGACTGTTTGCGACTTAGGACAGGCATGTGTAGACCGTACTGGGAGAGGTCACCAATATGTCACTCAGATCTTGCAGTCGCTTATACTCCAGTGTCTCCATTACAAAGCTGTTCAGTTCTGCCCAGCAAAGCAAAAATTTCACTGTTGCAGTCTTCAGAGTCATATCGCCTTCATTATATTCCTCAATAAGAACAATACAAACATACAGCATACAGAAAACATCTTCTAAATGTCAAAAGGGAAAACAAAGTGGCACTTACAGTATCGAACTTCAGAGTACATTCTCAGGCCAGACAACATTCATTAAAACAAATTCTCTAACTCTATTTTGAGATACAGTAATCGGTTTTCTTTTCTAAACCCAACAACTTTTGAACACAGTTCATTACACTTCTGCTGTTTTGTCGCTTTGTGGAGATAGCAGGTAGAAAGCGACAGCTAGCTCAAGCAGTTGAGTGGAGTTTGTTATCAGTCAGGTGTTTTTCTCATCCTAAAACATGTCAGCATATGTGCTAAAAATGTATCTTTGCATTATAGACATGAGAAGAACTTAATCGCAATCGCGAGCTGCTTGAATTAAGATCCTAATTAAGGATTGGATGCAAACTATTGCAAGGTAAACTAAAACCCTATTAAACCTTACCTACTTTCAAGAATTTCTTATACTTTGTCCATTTACAGCTCATTGTAGCTCAGTAAAACTTTGTTTATTAGCCGTAAGGTTTGTTTTACTGCTAACTGTAGCTCAGCTGTTTTTGGTGGACTGTGTATGTAAGCTTGTTGTTGCTTTGGGAATGCTTCTTGGTATAAAACGTTGGGGAAAGCCACAGTTGGGCTTGCAGTGACCTCTGCTGTTATTATGTGTGGGCGAGTGGCATCTTTTCCACTGTAGAGCCAAATGGTACTCATGCCAGTACTGTGCTGTTCCATATATTTTCCTGGATTTGTTTCTAAATAAGATAAAAACAGTTTTGTCCTCTGAGTGTTAGAAATAAAACAGGTTGCTTCCAGTGGATGAGGACAGTAACAGAACTGAAATGATTCACAAATGTGTAAAACCGGTGCAGGTTGAGTATAAAACAGCACATATGACTCATTACAGCAGCCTGTTCTACATACACAATACATTTCCATAACAGAGTCAATGGTTAATATTTTTTTGTAACAAACATGTATGTACAACTTCGACTGCATCTTGCGGAAATTAAACAAACCCATTTGTATTACACCTATTCACATGAAAATACAATACATAAATCCACACATCAGCAACAAAGAAAAAAATAAATAAATCAAAATTAGACAACTTAAGTAAATAAAACACACAAATAATACACACATATACATACATAAGGCTGGCCTATAAAACATACCTGGATATGACCTATTTTACACAATGCAATGCTTTTATAATTTCTTTCAAAAGAAGAGATGTCTTTTTAGCTTTTTTGTTTTATTGTACTTGTAATAAAGATGAAAAAAGATCAAGTCGTTACACAATAGCCTAAAATTTGAAACGAGTGACATGGCCCTGGATTTGTGTACATGAAG